ATTTAATTAAATTTTTTATCACAGATCATTTTGACCGAGTCTTAATCTACGTAAAATTTCAAATAAATCGGTAAGCTAGAACTGATCTTTATGTGTGATCAGAAATAAAATATAGTAGTATATACTGCCATAGTAAAACAAAATTGACAGGATAAACGGAATAAGATCTTATATCAATGTATAATATTTCGTCCACCTATGTTAAACAGTACCTAAATCATTTTTTAAAAAAAGAAATCTAGTAAAGTACAACTTCTGGTTTTTGAAGGTCACTTAAAAATTTAAATAAGTATAAGATCATCCAGTTAACAAAACAGTAGGGCTTCTCAAGTTATCGTGTTCCAATGGAAATAAAGTACAACTTCCAACAATCAGAAACAAAAGCGTAGCGAGGGGCCGGTGGGGGGGGGGGGGGGAGGCGGGGGGTATATATCTCCCCGGGCGCCGACATTAGGGGCGCCAAAATGGGTTGGAAAAACAAATTAAAATCTCATTTTAGCTGCATTTTTTTCAATATAAATATAAAAAATATATGGGGGGGGGGGATCAAATTGAAAGTTTGAGAGGGGGTGAAAATCAAAAGTTTGAGGAGGGGGGGGGGTCTGCAAATCAAAAGTTTGAGACGCGGTGCAAATCGAAAGTTTGAGGGGGGGGTGCAAATTGAAAGGTTGCTCCCGAGGCGCCCCCTGGGCGCCGGTAACGGTCGCTACGCCTCTGATCAGAATACTTAATGTAATATCTATATATATAATTCTCTTCTGGGAGCCGTTAGAAACAAGCTGCAAGCGCCTACTTGCAGTCCCCTCTCTTTCTCTCTATCACTATCACTACCACCCCCACCCCACCCCCACATTGTCTGGCGTGAGCTGTGGTCACGCTAAATGTTTACAAAGCTAAATGTTTACACATCGTAGAGCCGTAGAGCCGGGTTTCTATTAGGGGCAGATAATTTAGTTCAATTTTAAACTTACAGGAGGTAACTAAGAAATAACTTAGAGGATGCTGCTTTCACGGGGGGGGGGGGGTTAATGTTTTAAAGCAAATAATTTCAGTGGCAGCATTAATACTGTCGAATTCACAAATTATGAATTACTGAAAAGTAGAAAATAAAACAACTAAATAGCGGCGTATGATAATCTGCGGGTCGGCTCGTTTATATATAACCTAGCCATGTGTAGGCCTACCAGTTTTGCTTAAATTATAGATCTATATGTTTTGCTGTTCTCCTTATTTGAAAAAAAAAAATTATAAAATAGTTACTGGTCAAAACGCTGTGTACTTAACTACCCGCTGAATGATATTAGTGACAATGCAAAGAAATAGCTAAAGAGCTAAATAGCTAAAAATTAGTATTAGTTTTGTCGAGATAAGTGTAAACATTTCAATCTAAATTGAATTTAAATGAAATAGTTCATTTATTCATATTCTTAAGTTGGAAGATGACGCTGAACATACTGACACGTAGCCTCAAAACTATTGCGGACAGAGAGAGAGAGAGAGAGAGTGAGAGAGAGAAAGAGAGAGAGGATAAGAGAGAGAGAGAGAGAGAGAGAGAGAGGGAAAGAGAGAGAAGTGCACACATGGGCTTGCATTTTATTAGGATGATATTCTTCCACCTATCAAAAGGTGTTCTGGATTATTATTTTAAGAAATGAGATGTAGAGTGAGTAGAACTATCAGTTTTTGTAAATCGCGATAGTGATCTAAACTACAATATTTAAATTTAACTGAAACGATACTACAGTTATCATGACAGGTACACAGACAGACAAGATTGCAATTTTTGCAAAACCATAGTTTTTTTCAGTTCCAGAAAGGCGTAAAACGTCAAAGTTTGTCAAAAAATCACAAGTTATAAGTTTGCCACAAACCCACAAACAAACACACAAACAGATGTTGCGTACTAAATAAAAAATAATGCCGTTTTGAATTGATTTTTTTCAGCCAATAAACAGATACATTTTATAAGTCCCGAAAATTTTAAGTATCCTGAGCTGCCATTTCTAACACCTTCACCTGTAAAACGAAATGCTGGCTAGTGTGTTTAAAAATAAATATAATTATTGTATGTCAAGAAAAGATATTGGATTTTCTATTTTATTTTAATAATATTAAAACAACGAGATCATAAAAGCTTTGAATAAACTATAAAAATATAATTGTTCCATTAGATTTGTTGATGAAATGATTGCACTTTTATTAGTGCAGTGATGGGCTTTGCGATATACTAAGCAATCAAATTAAATTCAACAAATTAAAATAGATGTCGAGATAATTAGTTAGAATAAAAAGACACTTATGGATGTACCTAGCTCCATAACAACACAGCTCGGCAAAAAAAAAACAGAGATAGAAACTAATCACACTCAAACGTATACTCACCAGACACAGCAAGTAGCCACAAGTAAAGAGATATTAAAGTACTACAGAAAGGAACACACCACACATATGCAAACAGAAAAAAAATCACCACATATAAACTGACTAGAAATAATAACTCACGCAAATATAGACGGGGAACTCACAAAATATGAACAGACACGGATTAGTAACATACAAACTGAAAAAAAATTAATTTCCTAAATATTTAACGTAAAAAAAAAACGTGAGTTATCTCCCCTAAACTACCTCGAATACTTTTATAGAAAACTACAGGGAATGATAACTCGGGAAATAGACATGATTTTTAATACATTTTTAATCACTTAAACTTTTAAAAATATAATAGAATTTCGTAGAAAAAAAGAAATGACACCAAGTGAATGGCAAACAATATGTGTATAGTAGGGTGGAATATTATTAGTACTTAATACATTCATAAGCGTTTTTTGAGAAGACGAAAATAGAGTAAATTACTACTTACGGTCTACGAAATGACTAAAAATTTGACAGAAGGCAGAGCAGTAGAACTTATACTTACATGTGAAATTTTATTTATCTATCTGAGCAGTACTCAAGTTATAGGCTTTTGAAAAACTAAAAGTAGAATAAGTGCAACTTCTGTTAATCGGAAATCGCTGAAAAGTTGAAACAGAACTACACATTTAATATAATACTTAAACTAACTTTCATTAATCTACCTGTGACGTTACTCAAGTTATCGTGTTCACAGACACACAGACGCACACACTCACACACACACACACACATACACACACACCAACATACATACACACATACATACAGACAAAATTGTAAAAATATATTTTTCCGACTCGATTTTATGCATAATGACAATACTTTCTCTATACTTCGCATTCAAAAAAGTAAAAAAAAAAAGCAAAAAAATGTTTTTTAGTACTTTGTTTTGATTTTGGGACAATACTATTACTATCGAATGTCCTCTATATTTACTACTAATGTACCCGTCCCCGCGCGTTGGGATAGAAGAAAGTCTGACGAAATATATAAGAAGGGTTTCATCAATGAGTTACTAATATTATAGTCTTAGACGCCTGACCTTATTTTCTAAATCTGAGTTATTTAAATGTAAAAAATGCCTGCGCTTGGATCATAAATATTACGACACAGGTTTACCTACACTACTGCACCGAAATAAAAAAGGTTGAACACACTTCGGTGACCGCCATTGTGTCTGGGTCGTAGATGGGTGCTCTCGGGAGCCCCCAATTACACAACCGCAGAGGTGCCGCGTACTGCCCCTGGCTCCTCAAAACTTATAACGCCATAGTGCTCACAGGATAACCCAGAGCGCCAAATAGCATTCTGAAACAACGATGCAGATTTCGTCGGGGGACGCGCCTAGTTTGATACAGTCAACGATTACTGTTGCCCATTGTGTCTTTATAGTATAGCCCTTTTTTTAAACGAACGTATGCGCCATAGTGCTCGCGTGGGAGCCCAGGGTGCTTCCGGTCGTGCAATCAACGGGGCGCAGGCGTTTGCGACTGTTGAAGTTTGAAGTTTTAAAGCTGAAAATAGTAGTGCCCTTTACCCGCTATGAAGGGCGCACGATTAAAGGATGCCAATTGCTTATTTAGCCGCTCTGGAACTCTGGTCGCCAAATTGTGCATTAACTAAAATCGCAACCCCCTCACCCGGGCGCCGTTTGTATTTAAGTTTGAGTTTGTGTTAGCGTTAGGTTTGCATTTGTTTGTAATTTAGTTTTAGAGTTCGAGTTAGGTTTATGGTTCTGTATTATATTCTCTCATATAACGAAACAGACAAACAAAAAACTAATTACTTTTGCTTAGACGAAACCTATACCTATAGTATTCATATTATGTTTTACTACATATCCTGTTTGGTGCCGTCAAAAAGTGGTCTAAAATGAGTTCCCATATAAAATTTTGCAATCTTGTCCGTATGTGTGTGTGTATGTGTGTGTGTGTGCATGTGTCTGTATTCACGATAATTTGAGTACCGTTACAACTAGGTTGATAAAATTTCATATATACGAATTATTTCAAATTTGTAGATCCGTATTAGCTTTTCAGTGATTTCCGATAACCGGAAATGGAACTTTTTCTACTTTCAATTTTTTATAAGCCTATCACTTGAGTACTATTTCAGATAGATAAATGACATTTCACATATAAGTAAAAAAAAAATCTTATTCTCTGCCATCATTTAAATTTTGAGTAGCTTCCGTTGACCTGAAGTAGTAATTACGGCTATTTCCGATTTCTCGAAGAAGTTTAGTGAAGATCACTCTCAGTTTATTTTTATTTTAAGGAAAAACCTATCCTCGATTTCTAGTTGTATTTTTAATAACAAAAGTATATTTGAGCTTTTATTAATTTACAAAACTAAATTTTCTTCGACATAAGTTTTAAGTGCATCAAAAACAATACAATACCCCATTGCTTATGGAACATTGTCATTCAGAAATTAATTCCGTAAATAAAGGGTTAAAAGTTTTAAATGTGTTGATTTTGGTTTAAGCTGGAATTATTACTTGCGTTGTCAGTAGAAGCCAATAGAAATTCACCACGCTCAAAAACATAAATATATAAACTGTCTCTTCAATTAAAGGCCTTCATACAAACGATCTATATTCTGTAAGACATACATCATTGTAAGTTAGCTTTGTTGTAAATAAATTATTATAGATAATACACTTTTATTTGCATTAACAAAAAGCATTCATGTTTATATATATTTCATTGTATAAATTAAAATTAAAAATAAATTTACAATATATTTAAAATATAAAGGCAATATTAAATGTATTAACCATTTGTTATGTTGTTAAGTAAGATGTTCACTTAATGATTTCTTTGCTAAATTATGTGTATAAACTCAAAACTCTATATTGCAAGTTTAAGAAACAACATACTTTATTTTTGTGTTACTACGACGACTAAAATGAAAATCGCAGTTCTCCTTCTTCTGGTGTGTTTTGCAAATCTCTGTGCTCTATCAGACAGGTCAGTTAGTTAAACTATATTTATTAAAAAGGATTGAGATAATAATAATTTATTTGAAACATCTATATCGATACAGATACTGATATTGATAATAATACAGATAATGATATCAATACAGACACAGACAGAAATACATATCCATATCCATATCCACATCCGTATCCATATCCGTATCCTTAATCATAACCATAACCATAACCATATCCATATCCATACCCATGTCCATATCCATATCCGTATAAGAATGCATATACATATACATATACATATGCATATGCATATATATAATATCTACGTTTTGTTTTTAATCAAACAGTTGTTGCATGACGAGTGAATACTGTTCACACCATAAAGATTGTTGCTCATCAAGAGCTTGCAACAGCTTTTCGTACGGAAATTATTAGTTACATTTTTATTATAAAAATATTATTTTAAGGGAATTTGATTTATCTTAAAGTTTTTTTCTACTCAGCTCAATTAGAAATTAACAGAAAAATGTATTTTTAAGCCTGTATTATTTACAATAATAACATTATGTTAAACCTTTATAAGCTCGGTGTACAATGGCAAAAAATTTAAATAATACAGCCGTTATTGTCGGACTAGAACAACGTTTGATACCACAGCCCGTATTTTAGAAAAAGTTATTCAAAAGTTCAAGAGAAATATACAGTGCCACCTTGGTTTTTGATCTTGCAAATGTAAATGAATTTCGTCTATAAAGCTTGAAAAGAGATTAAATGGCCACTTCACAAACAGAAATCGTAAAAGTTTACAATCTAGTACTAATTTATCCCTATATTGCATGAATTATTGCTTTTGTTGTTAAAAAATTTTTGACTTGATATTTCTACAGCAATTGGACTAACTTGAGTGTAGAGAACTTTTTTTTTAATAGATGATAAATATCACAACAATTTTGGTTATTGCAATTCTGCAACTATGTGCAACCATTAAACTTTTTTTTTCCATCGTAAGAAAAGAAATTTTATTAACGTAAATTAATGAGAAATGTAATAAATGCAGAGAATGATTTTAGAACAACATGGAAGTTTATTAATGACAAAAAAACAAAAGGAAAAATATGTAAAGTGAAAAAAAATGACTAAAAATTCACATGTTAGCTAAAAATAAAGTACAAACAGTTAAGGAAAATGATATTTCCGAAAACAATTGGAAGATTTAGTGAGACATAAATGAGCATTACACACTTGGTAGATGTGTAGCCAGTGCAATTGGGATATTTACAACGTCCCATTTTCTCTGACAGTGTAGGGAAATGTCTTAAATTGTCTGTCCGCAAACAGGAAGGTGGAACAATTGCTTTGGTGGACCTCATCTTTTTTATTTGGAGCAGATTATCCACCTCCATGCATGGATGGCCTCGTCTTTTGTTCAGCTTGCAACCTCTCAGACACTGAGAAAGTTCAAGCTTGAACTGTAGCAGGGGAAGATAAGTTGGCTTTGGTGTAGATGATCCACCATCTCTATGATCCTCTCTGTACAGAAGCCAAGACTAAACAACAATCAAGTCCAAAAAATTGAACAATAATCTGTGGTACCACTTCTTTGACCTGATTGGGTTTCTATACAGAGCCACCAAAGAATCCAACAAATCAACCCCACCCATAAAAGAATTATATATGCTTACGGCTGAAGGGCAACTGACATCAATGTCATGTTTCAATTTCCAATCAAAGCGCATTACAGTTTTGGTTGGTAATATTGAAGCAAATGTGCTAAGAAGGGTGACAGGCTTTCTATCTAGCCAACTAATGACATTTATTTCAACTCCATCCAAAATAACACTTTTTAGAATGGAAGAGCCCCTCCCACTTTTTGAATGCTCCCTGTCCGATGGAAAAGTGCATCCTTTTAGGCGGTTGGTCCTGACAGTCCCTAAGCAGGCTATACCTTGTTTATACAGAACAACCTGCAACTGCAGTGTATTAAACCAACTGTCAATGTATACTTTCTGCCACACATCACAAGGAATGTTTTGTAGTAAGGTAAGCACAATATGGCCAGCAGCACCTATGTCTTCTTGTCCCTGACATTTTGAAATTTTCCCAGTATATATTTCAAAATCATGGACAATCGCATGGTTATCAGAGGCAACAAAAACTTTGTAACCCCACTTGTAGGGCTTTTTGGGGTTGTACGTTGTTATGCTGCTTTTGCCTTTAAATGGTACTACTTGTTTATCAATGCTGATCATCTCGGATGGCACAAGGTTAAATAGACTCTTTTTGAAGGCACCAATAAGAGGCCTTATTTTGGCCAACTTATCATCTGTTCTGTCAAGGTTGTTTGACAGGTGGAGATTACTTTTGATTCGCTCAAATCTGTTAATAGTCATTGTTGCAGATACAGTAACACACTTGGTGGAAGGGCACCAATACATTCTGCGTCTTGGAATCTTTACAACACTCATATAAATAAACCGGGAGTGATCTCCCCTAAACTTTCTCGAATATTCTTATATAAAATAACAGGGGATGGGAACTCGGGCTATAGACATGATTTTTAATCCATTTTAAATACTTAAAGTTTTAAAAATAGAATAAAATCTCGTAGACAAATTAATTGCACACCAAGTGAACGCGAAATAAAAAAGCGCATAATAGTGCGCAATATTATTATTACTTTAAAAATTTACATTAGTTTTTTGAGAAATCGGAAGTAGCGTAAATTACTACTTCCGGTCAACGGAAATTACTCAAAATTTAACAGAAGGTAGAGAATTAGATCTTTTACTTACATGTGAAATTTCATTTATCTATCTGAAATAGTACTCAAGTTATAGGCTTTTGAAAAATTCAAAGTAGAAAAAGTACCACTCCCGGTTGTCAGAAATCGCTCAAAAGTTGATACGGATCTACGATTTTGATAAAATACTTATATATGAAATTTCATCAACCTAGCTGTAACGGTACTCAAGTTATCGTGTTTACACACGGACACACACACACACAGACACACACACAGACACACAGACATACGGACAAGATTGCAAAATTATGTTTTTCCGTATCAGTGAGATGCAAAACGTCGAGATTTGCAAAAATCTCGATTTTTTTTTTTGCACGATTACAAGACTTTCTCTATACTTCGTATATACGAGAAAGTAAAAACAATTCCAATGAACTGGTTCGTCTTTATCAAGAGATAGTGTATTGTTTATATCCTGTTGGGAGCTGTATAGGTTAGATTGATGAACAATGGTATCTAACAGTTCATCTGTTATAATGTCATTGAAGTAATCCAGTGGCTTTCTTGGGGGTTGGGGTTCTCGCTTAGGACCAGTGAATGCTGGCGCTGTTGTGGTCTGTTCTTGTTCGCCATATTGTTGCCGCCAAAGAATACCTCTGTTTGGCACTTGAGAAGGTTCTTGGGGAGTTTCCTCTTATTCGGAATCGGATTGATCTGAATAAATATATTTTAGGGAATATTATTTGCTGAAAATAATGCATCTTCCAGCAGTAATTATATACAAAGCTCATATTTTACTAACTTAGAAACAAGACATGAAAGTATTCACTAAAATATTAGAGAATAATAATAAATTACCTTGGGCTTCGTATGATAAATCTTCATCCCTATCTTCCAATTGGACCTTGGTACTGTCCAAAATTTCTGTTTCATAATCTGACAATTCACTATCTTCAGAGTCAGAAGGAATAGGTCGAATAGGAATACTAGACGACTTTCCATAAAACCTCTTGGAATCCATGAATCCAAATAAGGCATAAAATAAAGATTAAAAACTTGTCTATTGTTCAGTAGCATTAGGCATAATTTTTTTAAACATTTTTATAGGACAAATGATTGTATAGGGCCTACTAACTATACAGTAGTAAGTAGCTATTTTTTATAGCCATAAAACTAGAAATTTTATAGATCTAGGCCCTATTTTATATATTTTAGTTACTTTGGCAAATAAAGAATAGGCGCAATATAATATAGATCTAATAAAATACTTATATTTACAATATAAAACTAACTAGTAGTATTTCTCGCTAACTTGGAGGCGTGGTCGGTTGCTAACAACAATATGGCGCCCGGGCCGGACGTTTGATTTCCGGCGATTTTTCGGCCAAATTCCAGAGACCTTCAACTAATTACATTTAAAATGTTTACCACTTGCAAAATGGCGGGATTTCCGTGTCATAACAACAAACCATTGGTGGCAGGGTTAGATATGCCAGAAAAGCATTTTAAAATTTGGTTTGGAGAACGGAGGCTAAATTCAAAAGTTGGTTTCATTAAAATTAATAGAATTTTAAAAATATCAACAGTGTAGGTACAGAAATGAGCGAGAACGTAAAGCATTATTAGTTTTATCAGTCTATGAAAAAAGAAATCAAATATTGTGAGCTGTTTTTTTATAAGACCGGCGTCAGTATCACAACCAATTTATTTTTATTTTTTAAAAACCACGTGACCGCTATTTGATGATTACTAGTGAGGAACTCTGGGTGCATGGCCACTTAAAAAGTCTAACCTGATTTGTGGTTTTCTTTAGCTTCAAGCTTAAGAAGAGTTGTCATGGAGAGATGTGTTGGACATGGCAGTGATTGACAATAAATATTAAATTAAGTAATTTAGTTTAAAACGAACTAAAAACCCCAAAGTTAGTGCCTAATGGATTAAATATGGATGTCTATTATTCAGTGGTCATGTTTAAATTGATAATTGCGTAAATTCTAGATTTAGTGAGAAAAACTACTAACTAGATCTCTACTGTGTACTAGAAATATTACCCAAATTACAAACCGAGGGTTAGAGTGATCTACACTCTCCAGTCTACAGTCTAGACAAGAACCATTTTTTTTCAATTTCCGTTGCATGTAGTTGTAAAATTACAACGATCAAAACCTAGGCTCTTACTAATACATTCTAAATAAATTAATTAAAATAAACTTATTTAGGCCTAATATTAATTAATAAGTTTAGGGTAATCTATCGTTTTGGGTACGTAAAATCGCCCGCGGCTATTTATGTACGAAAACGTTACCTTATTGTCAAGGCTTTAATAGAAGTATATTGTCATACTTCTGTGTCATAGATAAATGAATAATAAACCTAAATCAATGGCTAAATATATCGATATAGGCCAGAAATTAACTTTAAACAACAGTGTCTGAGAGCAAGATTTGCAATATATAAAAAGCAGCCATTTGTAAAATAGAGTCGCTTCCCCCTGAATCTGGCGCTAAAAGCTTATAAAAATAAAACTTAGACAACATGGCTGCTATAGTAAATGAGCATGGTTGCATCCAGAGTTTCTTCCAGGCATCTCTTCGGGGGGGCGAAGCCCCCTCCGAAAAATTTTTACCGCCCCCCCGAACGAAATGAAATTTATATAATTTATATAGAAACTATATACTTTTAACAGTGTCCGCCCCCCCGAAGAAAGTTTACCGCCCCCCCGAAGATTTCAAGTGCCCCCCCGGAGAAAAAAGTCTGGAAGAAACACTGGTTGCATCTGTTGGAAACATTGCTAGTCTTCATTTATTACGGAAAAGTTTTAACTCAATTGTTTAAAAACAGGTACATAAATGAATCTAGGAAACATTTTTGAATTTTTAAAATCATATATCCTCCTCAAAATGTGAAATAATTATTAAAATTTAAGGAGTCACCTGTTTTTCACATTACAAATCGCGGGCGATTTTACGTACCCAAAACGATAGATTACCAAGTTTAGATTGTAAAAATAATTTTTGCAGCTATTCTAGTGTAATTTTTACCAACATTTAAGTTTATGCTTACGAATTTCAAGAAATCAGAAATCTGTAAACCGCACACAACCACTTTCAATTTGAAAGGGAAATCTTCTTTTTAAAAGAGTTCCGGTATAAAATTTTAAAAACAAAACACTTCCGAAACGAAACAAAGTTGAAAACGAAAGAAAATAGTAATATTAAATAATAATATATTGCTCTAAAGTATTGTTTCAAAATTACAACTGTATGCCATATAGGGTTATGAAATGTTTTCCATTAGGATGAATCGGTATACAAGTTATAAACTTTTAAGAAACGGGAAGTATTAAACTGAAATCGCTTAAACGATTTTTTTTTAAAAACATATCAAATATATAGTTATGATATATGAGACGTTTTTTTTTACCCAGAAATATATAGGATGTAAAGAAATCGAGAAAACTATTTCTTGCTTGATTACAATAGAGTCTCATTTCTCGGTAAACAAAAAGTTATTGTTTTTACAAGCTTTTATTTAACTCACTTCCTATGCCTGTCGTCAGTCGTCAGTCTGTCTTGATCGAAACGCCGGGGCAAAATTGCAGCTACTTCTACTTGACAGATACTGTTCTTAATTTGTACGTGGGTCAAGACATAAAGACAATGAATCGTGACATTAAATTTGACTTAATTGAATGCCTAATTGAATATTTATGAATTAATTAAAAGTTTGACCAAATTAGTAGGCATTTCATTTCTATCGAACGACACCACACTCGTCATCAAGTTCAATAGCGCGTCATCGCGTACAATAGGCGCGCAATGGTTTTTATTCATGAAACTCTATTGTAAGTAAAAACATGTAAAGTACTAAAAAATTCATAAAAATGTTTTAATAAAAAGCTTTTATGTACTAATGCACTAAAAAGAAGAAAATAAATTATAGACTACTATTTTAATAACTATAAAGAAAATCGTGTTAAATGTATAACAGCGACACGGGAAAAACTGTTTATAAACATTATTTCAATAATCAAAACCTCCACCAATTATTGTTGATATTACTTTTCTTTTTTTTTTTTTTTTTTAGAGACGGAAAAAAAAGATGCGTTACCAATCGTAGAAAAAAAAAGGTAAAGTATGTTATATGGCGCTATAAAATAATACGAAGCGTTGGGGTTGTTTCTATAAGTTTATAAATAAATTAACACAAATATAGTTATACTTTCGTTTGTATGTTTCTTGTTATACTTAAGACTTTCTGAAATTTGAATGGCATAATAGCTCGTCAAAATACCTAAAAATGAAACGGTGTCTACATATTGAATTAAAAACAATCGTAGATTTATGATGAACAGGTCTAAATATGCTCATCAAAAGTTTACGTGCTATGTAAATTAAAAAAGTAAATAATATGGAAAAGTCCGTATGTTCATTATATATATATATATATATATATATATATATATATATATATATATATATATATATATATATATATAGAGAGAGAGAGAGAGAGAGAGAGAGAGAGAGAGATAACGCATTGTAAAAAAAAACTGTAATGTTGTATTAACTCTGTTTTATGTTTCTCTCTTGCAGAACACAAAATGAATAAAATAAACTTGTAGAAAAGTTAAACATCTGGATTTGACAATGTTTTTAAAGTTATTTTTTTATCCTTTGGTGATTTACTACATGACGAGTTCATATCTCCACAACAACTGGTTAACCCCTCATAATTATCTTATTTCTTCTCCACCTCCCCCCTTCCAAAAAACATATCTGCTTTCATTTCTATATGTTGCGTGTTTAAGGATGACAATAAAATAGCGTTTGCTCTTTTTCCCCAATCATAACACCTTGGATGCAACATGTATGCTGTTGTAGGCCAATCTCTGTCAAATCTAATCACTGTTGAAGAAGGCTGTAAATTACGTTTTCAGAACAGTGAGATGGTTATTTTCTAACTTCTTCTCGACTTTTGTCTTCTCTGTATGCAGTTGTTTAAACCAGAGTACCTACAAATAACCCATAATTACATTTCATATACTCATTATGTTTACATACTTTCAACTCGCAATGGCATAAATAAAAACAGTTCTCTTTATTTATAATAAACCGAGAGTGATTTCACCTAAACTTTATCAAATATTTTTATATGAAACAACAGGGGATAGCAACTCGGGATATAGGCACGACTTTTAATCCATTTTAAATACTTATCCTTTTATAAAAAGAATAAAATATTGTAGAAAAAAGACTTGCACACTAAGTAAACGCCAAATAAAGATGTTTATAATAGTGCGCAATATTATTAGTACTTTATAAATTTACGATCGTTTTTTGAGAAATCGGAAATAGCGTAAATTAGTACTTCTGGTCAACGTAAATTACTCAAAATGTGACAGAAGGTAGAGAATTAGATCGTTTACTTACGTGTGAAATTTCATTTATCTATCTGAAATAGTGCTCAAGTTATAGGCTTTAGAATTCAAAGTAAAAGAAGTACCACTTTCGGTTATCGGAAACCGCTCAAAAGTTGATCAGGATCTACGATTTTGATAAAATACTTATATATGAAATTTCATCAACATAGCTGTAACGGTACTCAAGTTATCGTGTTTACACACAGACAGACCGAAACACAGACACACACACAGACAGACACACAGACATACTGACGAGATTGCAAAATTAAGTTTTTCCGTATCAGTGAGGTGTAATACGTCGAGATTTGTAAAAATCTCGATTTGTTTTTACACGATTACAATACTTTCTCTATACTTCATATACACGAGAAAGTAAAAATGAGAAAGCAATTATGGGACTATTTACTAATTTATGTCATGATGTAATGTGTATGAAAGGTGTATACGTGGGGCGGATCTCTGCGTGTCTGTATGTATCATGTAGTGAGACGCGAGGCCGGGTGTGTTGACGTGTATGTTGTTGTACGGAGTGAACGAGGGTACAAGGGAAGTGACTGGTCGGGTGACAGTGGCTGTGTTGTGAGCGAGAGAAAGGTGGTGTGTAGGGATGAATGCGGAGGACAGTTGAAGGTTGGTGTGAAAGAAGACAGTTTGATGTGGAACTGGAAAGGTTCTAGAGGAAAATAAAAGAGACTACAAAACTGTCAAAAGTCATGCGTATTTAATAAATAAAAAAAAAGTAGCAATAAAGATCTGCTACTTTTGTTTAACCCTCGGGTTAATTTTTTAATGTCATGAAAGAACTCATGAAACAAGAAGATGTAGTTTCATTATTGTGATGCCATTTAGCCACAAGATATTTTTTGGATGTAGGGTTAACTTAAAATGAGCACCAGTTGTCTTACACAGCACAAATGATGGCAAGTAGATATTATTTTCATCAGTGTTAACAACAGAACCCTGGGTTGTCAAAGAATTGATTTTTTTCATGGAGTCAATATATTGATTTCCTTAATTTGTTGTATTGCTAAATTTAGAGAACATGCATTGTCGCATTTTCTAATGTGTTATCTCTTGCTTGGTGTTAGTTAATATCCAATTTAGAATTTGGTTGCCTGAATGCACAGTATAGTTACATAATTTATACGCATTTCCATAGAGAGGTGGTGGTTTTCTCACTACTGCTGCACTTGATTAATTATTATTGCACCATTTTAAATCGTAAAACTATCTAATTTAATAATATTTATTAATATTAATAAGCACACTTTTAAAAATTTCACACTGATCAAAAAATATTAAATAGGTAAATACAGTCTATATTTAAGAAATTAGATTTGTACCGCGCCGCTATGCACTGAACGCTTCGCACCACATACTTATATTGAATAGAACTATAACGGTAGAATATATCTAATTCCTTTATATCTTCCGCCTAGTTTCTATTTCAGAATGACAAATAAATACCAAACAGGTAAATAAGACAGTCTATAAGCAAGACATTTATTTGAACGCAGCGCAAAATATTTAAATTACGAAGACTGAAAATAGTGAAATATTTCAAGAAAAAAAAATTCACAAAAAACGTTTCAATAACAAGCTTTTATGTAATAATGCACTAAAAAGTAGAAAATAAATTATAGACTACTATTTAAATAACTATAAACTAAAGCGTGGGTCACTTTAGTATCTACTAGACTACCCGTTATCTAGTTAGATAACAGTGGGTCTCGGGGGGTCATCCATAAATGACATCACGTCTGCCAGCACTTATCATTCCAAAATAACCAGACCCCACATTCAAAAACAAGTTTTTTATATTTTAAAAACTCTACTAAACTCTACTTCACCTGCCCAGTGCCCCGCCAAGTCTCAGACATGTTTGTATTTTTAAAAAAAACGATTCCGACCGAGCATGGCTCTGACCACACTATCCCTTCATATGCTAAGAACATAGAAACAGGTGAACTCTACTTAACCTGCCCTGTGCCCTGCGAGGTCCTGATAGTCAATCATATCATTCACATATAGGCCTTAAGAAAAAATAATTGAAAACATTGTTTTAAAAAGAAAAAATCTTTTTACTATTACTAAAGTCATTGTTCTAAACTTTTTTAATTAATGTGGTTCATCTACCAATGAATATATCAATAAATTAATTAACGGCTTTAAATTAGTTTGTAATTAACAGTGTGTTTAAGAAAGAACAATATTTACCACCCCAAATCCTATTTTACAGCTCTACACCTAATGCAGTTTCTCCCCAATATAAAAAAAAAAACAAAACATAAAAATGAGTTATCAAACGTCACTATTCAGTCAAAGTTAAGCCATAGTTCTAAAACTTTAAAATTATTGTGGATTAAACTACCTATGAATAAATCAATAAATTAATTAACGTCTTTAAATAAATGTGTGATTAACAGTCTGTCTGCAATCAAAAATCGTTTTCTATCTAATTACTATTTTACAGCCCCCCATATACAGCAGTTTCCTTACAGTACCAAATCAGACAAACAAAATATTCAAACATGTCAACAAACTTGAGTTTTAGTAGTATACTAGACTACCCGTCATCCGTTGGATAACTGTGGGTTTCGGGGGTCATCCATAAAAAAACATCACGTCTGTCACTCAGAGGAGTAGCTACCCTTCCCGGCGCCCGGGGACAAACTTTTCGATTTAAATCCCCTCCCCCGCAAGATTTCGATTTGCAACCCCAACCCCCCCCCCCCCCCACAAACATGATGTGCACCCCCCCCCCCCCTCAAGATTTCGATTTGCAACCCCCCCCCTCAAACTTTCAACTTGCACCCCCCTCAACCTTTCAATTTATTTTTCCAACCCATTTTTTCGCCCCCTAAGGTCGGCGCCCGGGGACATATGTCCCCCCCCCCCCCGCCCCCCCCCCCCCGCTACGCTACTGCAGTGTCACTTATCGTCACAAAAAAACCAGACCCCACATTTAAAAAGATGTTTTTTTATATTTGAAAAACTCTACTAAACTCTACTTCACCTGCCCAGTGTCCCGCCAAGTCTCAGACATGTTTGAATTTTTAAAAAAAACCGTTCCGGCCGAGCATGGCTCTGACCACACTATCCCTTCATATGCAGTGAACATAGAAACAGTGAACCCTACTTCACCTGCCCTGTGCGCCGCGAGGTCCTGATAGTCAACCTTATCATTCACATAAGGGGCTTAAGAAAAAATAATTGAAAACATTGTAAAAAAAAAGTTCTATTAATTTCAATGACACTGACTTTAAAGTTTAGCCTTCATTCTCCAAAGCAAATTTTAAAATGCTTTTCTAAAATATCTAGCCCTTGCCACCTATACCATGTTTAAATAATGTGAACACCCGCCATT